TATGGTTTAGGTGTTTTTAGCCTTTAGCTACACTTATGGTGTCTGTAACATTTAGCTACAGTTTTGGTAGTTTAGCTAAGGTTTAGGTATTTTTAACCGTTAGCCATAATTTTGCAAGTTTTAGCTGTTATCTAAGTTGTTGCTCACTTTAAAGTTCAGCTGTCTTCAACATATTTCAGCAGTGAGTTATCCGTCAGAGTTTACTGGATTCAAGCAGAAAATGCATTTTTTTGTTATCATTATTTTATTTCATTATTTAAACTTAAACGTTTGTGTAGGCAGATTGTGTATTCTTACTTTTACTCACACTTAAAAAAAGCAAGCTCTAAGATTTTAAAGCCACTGACGGACGGCACAAAGAGAGCAGCTACTGTGCAGTAAAAAGCTGAAGGTCAGAGAGAAACTAAAGCTGCATTATGTTTACGTCCTAATTCTGTTTTCATATATAAAACAAGAATAAACTGAGATTAAAGTGGTTTGCTTCAGGCAGCATTAACTACAGCGGTGAGACGTGAACCATGCAGACGCAAACATTCATCCAGGAAATAATCAAAACAAGACAAGTAGCCGACGTTTTGCTGTAGAAGCGCATCGAGTGGCCGATCAGTTTCTACTCCCAGTGGCCGAAGGAAACTGAGGAAGAGGAGGTCGCTGTTAAGAAACCTTAAACTCTAAACTTTTATCTTCATCTTCTGTTGGGCTTCTTTTGAACGTCGGGTCCATGTTGACGCAACTCACCGGGTTCAGGACGGACGTGGAGACTCATTCAGAAGCTCGTGATGCAGATGCTGATGCAGATGTTCAGTACATCTGAAACCAGCGGCTCAAAGTTTAATTCTTCTAGAAGCCGAAGGGAAGTTCGGTTTCTGTTTTGGCCTCGCGCTCAGATGACACAGAAACTTTCGAATTGATCTCAGTTTCTGTTTCACTGACGGAGTTTTAGCCGTTTAGCTGTGGCGGCCATCTTGAATTGGCTTGACTCCAAATCTTTTTCGTTTATATACGTCCACCTAGTGATTGTTTCTTGAAGGTTTCATTTGAATCCATCCAGCTGTTCATGAGATATTTTGCTAACAGACTGAGTTGATTTGATAGTTAATAGTAAAAACACATTTTGCTCTTTTTGTTGGTGTTTAAACCATCTGTGTAGTATCGGCTACTACCACGCCAGATGTGAGTTCAAAGAGAACATTTAGTGTCTGTTGCGGTTGTTTAGCTGTGGCGGCCATCTTGAATGTAATTGACTCTCAACATTATTAAATTCTACATTTATGCGCAGCAATTATCTTTTGAAATAATGTTTCGGATTAAGTTAATATTTATTATTTGTACTTTAAAATGTCGCCTCATGAATAAAAACATGAATTTATGTTTTTCTTTTTTAATATTTAATTCTGAATCTGAAATACTCTTGGAACGTATACAGCCCATTGTCTCTAAGAGTTATTTTTTTTCCTAAATATTTGAGCAGATCAGTGTTTTTATTAATTTTAATAAATTATTAATTGATTCACAAAGGATCAACTTTTTTTATTTATTTCTAAAATTCCAGAGAATATATATATATTCTATGATTATTTGGCTTTCTGTCTCACCTGTGTTAGGGGTCATGAGGCCGGCCATGATTTAAAGACAAATCTGTCTGTTTGTTAGCGAAATCGCTGGTTTTACTGGTTAACTTTTGAAGTCAGCCCAATTTAAGATGGCCGAGAAAGCGGATTAGTTTTAGCGAACACAAAAATGGAAATAACTCAGTCGCTTTTACAGATGTTGAGATAAAGTTTAGTGTGGTAGTAGCTGAGAGTCACCCCCACAACATAATCTGAGGGCGAACAAGACATTGATAGAATGTTTTGCGTTTATGCAACAAAGGCAGGTTAATTTAATTTATTTTTTGCTGGAAGATAAATGTCATAACTGCAAATTTTATGTACTTTGTGTCTGAAACTAGTTTCTGATCATGAAAGTTTCTCTATTTTTATATCTAATACTAAAAAAAGTTATATATGGCTCTAATTTGATGAACCCCGACAGACATGTTCCTGTTTTTCAGTATTCTAGTTTTCTACATCGCTTTACAATCGACCTGTTTTTGTTTTTTTAATACAATTTTCTTTCATTTATTCTTCTCAATTTATTTGCTTTCTTTTATGATTGTCCACAGTTGTCATCACTTTTTGTTAAAATCAGGTCTCTCTTGTAAACGAGTCCCCGAGGCTCAATGAGACTAACCTGTATAAATAAAGGTTGAATGTGAATAATATGGAACCATAAAAAAACATTAAAAGTTTAAAAGGTTAAATGTTATTACAGGTCATTAACAGGCCTGCTGTTAGTGTAATAATAGTCGAATTAATTATTCGTGAATAGATGAACACCGAAGCGTTCTGTTTGTGTGTTTTGTTGCTACACAAACACATGGTTTCATTTGAGCACTGGGTCTCGTGCACCCTGACATTTGAGTCATCTGTCATTTTTCGTTAAGTTTGTGAGTGTAGGTTTATTTAGAACTTTGTTTGCACGTGTACGGTAACAATATGGTCCAGAATTTGCAATTTGGTTCTTCATTGTGACTCCTTAATGAAAATCGGCTTCTTTTTGTTGCTGTTTGATATCGACAACCTGCCCACAGCCGTCCCAACCCTGTGAGGTACAACGTAAAGCCTAATACTAATAATAATAACAATATTAATAATAATAACTAGAGAAATTGCATTTTCTGTGGAAAATGTAGTGTGAATATTTATTGCAGAAAAACTTCCTGAAAAACAGCTGAAATTAGCTAAAAATAACTGCTGAATTGTAGCTGAAATGGAAAAACAGGTCTAAATAAATTAGCAGAAGAAAGCAGAAAGAACACACATTTGCTGAAACTGGTTTAAATATTAAAAAACTAACAGAAAATTTTGGAAAGTAGCTAAAAAAAACCAACTGAAATTAGCAGAAAAGTAGCTGAAAGGTAGAAAGAAGTTAAAACTGCTACAAGGAAACAGAAAGAGCTGAAATGAGCTAAAAAATGTGTAATTAGCTGAATAAGCTCAAATTTGCATTAAACAGCTAAATAGTAGCAGAAATAGCAGAAATTAACACAATTAAGCTGAAAGCAGTATAACAAGCTAAAATGAGCAGAAATAAGTTATTTAGGCTGAAAGTAGCAGAAATTACTACAAAAAACTTGAATTTATCTGAAAACAGCTGAAATTAGCTAAAAATGGCTTAAAAGGTAGAACGAGCTTAAATTAGCGGAAATAAGTGGAGAGAGCACACTTTTGCCCAAAAAAGGCTGAAAGGTAGAAAGAAGTTAAAACTGCTACAAGAAAACGGAAAAAGCTGTAATGAGCTAAAACAAAGTGGAATTAGCTGAATAAGCTAACATTTGCATAAAAGCAGCTAAATAGTAGCAGACATAGCTGAAACTAACATAATTAAGCTGAAAGGAGTATAACAAGCTGAAATTAGCAGAAATAATTTATTTAGACTGAAAGCAGCAGAAATTAACACAAAACACTTCAATTTATCTGAAAACAGCCGAAATTAGCTAAAAATGATTTAAAAACCCCCAACTTGGCTTAAAAGGTAGAACAAGTTTAAATCAGCATAAGGAAGTGGGGAGAGCTCAATTTTGCCCAATTAGGCTGAAAGAAGCAGAAATGAGCACAAAAAGTGGAAATTATCTGAAAAATGCAGAAATTTGCAAAAACAGCTGAATAGTAGCTAAAAAGGCAAAAAGAAGCTTAATTTACCAGAAGGCAGTCATGAGAGCGCATTTTTTGCTGAATTAGGCTGAAGAAAAGTTTAAATTAGTGCAAAAAATGTGGAATTGGCTGAAAAAGTTCAAATTATCATAAAACGGCTAAATATTAGCTGAGATAGCAGAAGTAGTTTAAACTTGCACAAATAAGCTGAAAGGAGCATAACAAGCTAGAATTAGCAGAAAGAAGCTAGAAGAAGCACAAAAATGTTGTAGTTGGCAGAAAGAAGCTGGATGGAGCACAAATCAGCTGAAAAAAAAAAAAAACCCCAGCTGAAATTATCTGAAAGTATCTGCATTTGTTTTTAAATTTGCAGCATTAAGCTGAAAGAAGCTGAAGCAGAACATAAAGTGAAAGGAGCAGTGAAAGGTTGTAAACAGATCTAAAGACTTGAAGGAGGTAAAATGAGCACAATTTATTTTCTATGAGGAAAAAAGTTGTAGACAAGGCTAAATATTTCAAGAAGCTAACGTTGCACCAATACCAAAAGTCACAGCACCCGTCTCCTGAACGAGTTGAACATTTTGAACAATTTGTTGAAATAGCACAAAAATTGAGGAACGATAAAGATGCTGATAAACGTACAGGACAAAACTGGATGAGAGCAGCGTGAGCGCTTCAGTAAACACCGTCTGTCCTGATGACATCATTAGCTTCAGCTAACCAGGTCCGATCGAGTGTGTTTGTTGTGTGTGAGATTTTGGACGGTGTTGGGAGAAAACCAGTGGGGTCTCGGTGAGATGAGGCAATAAGTTTCATAACAGGCGCATGATGGCTGCACTCAGTGCATGTTGAGCCATACTGGCCCCCCGCCGGGCGTTTGTCCGGCACCCACCCTGTGTGAAGACTCATCCTTCTTTTTTCTGTCTTTATCTCTCAGCTGTAGCCAGCTGGTCCCAAGCAGAGGTATTCATCCAACCCCACTCCCTCCTCAGCTGCTCCTTCTACCTCTCTCTGCCCCCCTCCTTCCTCCTCTTCTTCCCCCTCCTCCTCTCATCTCAACCTTCTTTCCTCTGTCATTTCCCTGCCTTCACGTGTCCTGGCGAGACGTCGCGGACCGAGCGGGTGCACGGAGGATGGCCCAGGTGCAGGTGGTTGGGAACCGAGGGACCGAGCGAACCTTCTTACCCAGAAAACAGAGCTCTTTGCTGGGCTGGACACTGGAGCTCGAGCCTCTTGGATCTGGAGCTGGTTTAGTGCACCTGTAACTATTTTTGGACGTAATTCTATCTCCAGAGGACCATGTGAACTGGATGAAGATCATTTTTTTTTGTATTTTCTTCAACGATTTTTAGTTTTGAACTCTGTGCGGTGAAAGAAGCAGGTTGTGTTTCTGTCCTGCTCCAAACTGGATCGCAGCATCTGCACAGTGTGGACGGCTGCAGCGGAAGACGAGAAGCTTAACAAAGAAGGAAATTTAAAAAAAGAGGAGCTCTCCTCATCGCACACCTGTAACAGCTGCTCCTCTGACGAAGAGCAAGAACAAGAAAGAAGGTTAAAGAGGACGCTCTGGGTCGGCTCTCCATCCCTCCTTCACTTCCCACCTGTGTGGATTAACTGGGCTGGGGCAGCATGGCGCACGCCGCCTCGCAGCTGAAGAAAAAGGCGGACGAGAATCTCGCCGCAGAGGAGGAGAAGGAGAAAAAGAAGGCGAGGAAGCGATCGCGGGAGGTGAAGAAAAAGGTAGAGAAACGAGGAAGAGGCTTGTCTTTTGTCAGGATGCAGCCTCAGACAGTCGGAGAGGCCAATCTTCCGAGGTGGCGATTGTAGGGGGTCCCAGTGGGAATACTGGGGGGGTGTTTGGAAAAGACAGGAAGATGGATAAGCAGGGAGCGCGCTCGGAGAAAGAGAAAAATTAAGAATCAGCTGCAGAGGACAGACGGGTTCAGCTCGCGTGAGGAGGATCAGTCAGCCGAGTTACGAAACGAGAATCCCATTACAAACTGAACAAGTTACATTTAATAAACAAATACACTCCAGATTTAAATTTAATTAGAAATCATCCCTAATTTCTCTGGTTCGATGTGTTTGTGAACTCGTTGTTTCCCCACTTTTGTGTCTTAAACCTTCTTGTTTTGATGCAGTGATTTTATTTTTGCTGTTTTGGGACAAAAACCGGTGGATTTGTGCCAAACGCACGAGTACTCACGCCCTGCGGTTAGGTGTTGGCTGTTTCTGCAGACGTCTTTGTGCAAGGACAAAGTTTAGACGTGATCTCAGACGTAACTGCGGTCCGATCTGTACGTCTGACTCGGCATCAGTCACGACGGATCTGTTTGGCTCAGTTTGAAAAGCTTTGTTGGCGTATCCGTTTGTTTACGTGGGTATTTATCGTGCTGCAGTTGTGTCGAGGCCTATAATCTCTCATGCATGTGTGCGTGCGTGTGTGCGCACATGCTGAGATGTGGGCTTGTTTGTGTTTTAGTGCACTGGCCCGAGGCCGTCCTTATTCCCGGGTTAGCCACCTGTTCTTACGAGTCAATACTCTGACCTCATTAGGATCAAGGTTAAAATGGAGAGAGGACAGGAAGTCGATGTGTTTGTCTGTATCTATAAAAAGGTTTTCATCTAGGCAGCTGTTTGACCAGTTATAAGTTTTATGACAAGCGAGCGGTTCTGTGATTCAGGGTCATGTTGCAGCAGAAAGATTCAAACTTTATTATACCTTGGATGTCATTGATGGCTGTGAGTCCCAGCTCCAACTAAAAGAGATTTTTCTCTAATTGTTAAATTCAGAACTTCACAACTTTGCGTTTGCATTCGGCTTCTTTTGTTTCTGTCCTCTCTCTGCTCCGTTCACCGTATCTTATCTCTGCTAAATTGAAGAAAGAGCTAAATTAATCTGAAATAAAGACAACGGCGCTTCATTTTAAGCCACTTCTAATTGGGGACTGCCTAGTAAGGCAGCACCTATTATTATCCACCTGACAGGGTTTCTTAATTTTATATCTTACTTTTCCATCAACTTTAATGTGGCCCGAACCGCAGTGTGTACCTAGGCCTGTCACGATAACAAATTTTGCTGGACGATTAATTCTAAGAAATTATTGCGATAATCGATAATATTGTTTGAAATTTGACGATAATTAGTAATTACAGTGAACCTTCGTTTTTCACGGGGGTTACGTTCCAAAAAGAACCCGTGATAGGCGAAATCCATGAAGTAGTAACCTTTTTTTTTTTACAATTATTATACAATACTCCATAATACATTCAAACCAAAGAACAAAACCTTTTTACAGGCCCAAGCATTTGTTTAACAAATAAAAGTGCTGTATAAATGATTTTTTACAAATAACTACTGTACTGGAGAGACCGTTTACCCAAACAGAATGCAGAACACAATGCACGATGCAAATCCGTGAAGCAGCGAGACCGTGAAAGGTGAACCGCGTTATAGCGAGGGTTCACTGTATTGTCACATTCAAGAAGAAATGTTGGTTAATTTTTGTGTGTAGTACCTTTATTTGACCACTAGATGGCAGTATAAGACTGTTTGAACTGAAGGATGGATAGTGAGGGAGCGAGCAGCGTGTCTCTGTAAGAAAAATGGGAGGGAGGCCCCTTGACGTGACACGGGCTGTCTCTCGTTCCTGTTTTTCGGTTCTCAAAACGGCGGACGCTCCGTGTGGTTTGAGCTCTTTAGCGTACCATTTTTCACACACAGCTTTTAATTTAAAAAATCAGTAAACAAGTTCTCTACTTTTTTTTTTGTTTGTTTGCAGAGAAAAACAACTTTTTACACGAAGGCACGGGTTTCAACCGTGAATTCTGGAGCTTCGACAAGACGGAGGTTTATTCCCCGAGGTCGACCTGTTAGCTTAGCTTGTAGCTTAGCTTGTTGCTTAGCTGCTTTTAACAATCCCAAAACGTGATTTTAGATCGTTAAAACAGATTTTAAAGAGAAAAAAGAATGGGAGGGGTCAGTGAAGAGCACCGGAGTTGAGCCTTTTGTCATCCAGTGTCTTCAGTAGAAAGAGAGAGACACGAACAAACGATAACGCCAATAAATGAAAATGAAGTCGATAATTTTCATTTATCATGCGATTAATTGATTTATTGTTTATTGTGATTTATTGTGTGACCCTCACAAATATTATATCAAAATGACTGGCTCGGCACCATGATGTGTGCTCCCTACTTTTATTGGCATTTCAAGTAACCATGGCGATGTAATTTGCAAACAAAGATGACATTTTTATTAGTAATTTTTCGCAATCTGGTTGCAAATCAAATATCCAAGATGGCCATCTGAGCTAAAAAGGAAAAAAACTGTAAATTATCCATTTTTTTAGAGATATTAAGCTGAAATTTGGTGTGGTAGTCGCTGAAACCAATGCCAAATAAATTATGAATTAAATAAAAATTCAAGGTGGCCGCCAAACTCAATTTAAATGGCTTTAACTCTATTTTTACACATACAGAGTTGATATTTGGCGTGGTTACAGCTGAGAACGTTCCCCATCACATACTGAATCCTAATCAAAAATCCAAGACGGCCACCGTAGCTTAAAAGAAGCAAAATACTTTAACTCATTGATATTTTGCCGCTTTAAGCAGAAATTTGGTGTGGTGGCAGCCGAGAGTGAACCCCAACACATGATACTGTCCAATCAAAAATTTTAAATGACCGCAACGTGGCAGTCCCTGACAAAGTTTCTCCAGGAACTTTCTAGTCCTCTGACGCCCTCTCTTCATCGTTGCTTAAAGTCTGTATCTCCTTTGGCTTAGGCTACATCTAGATGTGATGATTGTTAGGAGATTGAGAGAGTTTGAAGTAATGTGTGTAATGTTTGTGTGTACATAATGGCCCATGGGTGGAGTTTGCTCGTGAACGGTGCAATGCCAATGTGGACATTCAGACACAACTTCCTGTTTTGATGATGGAGCTCGTTTAAGTGTTTCTGTCTGTCCCAGGTGTGTCTTTAACAGCACACCTGCGTTGTGCTCTCACAGCAGAAAACACTGTTTGCGCAGCTTTCACTTTACGAGCACCATTCACCCACAAAGGGAACATTAATCAGCGTTGCAAAAGTGACTCGTTAACATTTTTGTTAGATAAAAACAGCCTTTTTTAGATCCATATATATTAAAAATATCAAGTTGTTCTCAGCTCCAACCTTCTTCAGATCGAAGCTGGTCAGAACTGGATAAGCTTGAGGTCTTCTGTTGGTGCAAGAACGCAAAGGTTGGAAACCTTTGATATAAACTCAAATTTCAGCTACCGAGAAGAAAATCTCAATGTCAAGCATAGGCCTGTCGCGATAAACAATAAATTAATCACATGATAAATGAAAATTATCGACCTCATTTTCATTTATCGGCTTCATCGTTTCTTTGTGTCTCTCTTTCTACTGAAGACACTGGATGACAAAAGGCTCAACTCCGGTGCTCTTCACTGACCCCCCCCCCCCCCCTTCTCCTTTTTCTTTAATATCCATATTAACCATCCATAATTGTATTTTTGGATCGTTAAGCTGAGAAGCTAAGACCTCAGGAAAAACCTCTGTCTTCTTTAAGCTTTAAGTGTAAAAAGTTTTTCTCTGCAAAAAGTAGCTGAGAACTTTTTTATTAATTTTTTTTATTAAAAACTTTGTGTGAAAAATGCTATGCTAAAAAGCTCAAACCACACCGAGTGACCGCCATTTTGAGAACCGAAGAGAGACGGCCCATGTCACGTCAAGGGGCCTCCCTCCCATTTTTCTTAAAGAGACACGCTGCTCGCTCCCTCACTATTCATCCTTTGGTTCAAACAGTCTTATTCTGCCATCTGGTGGTCAAAAAAGGTACTACACAAAAAACTAATTGAACATTTTTTCTTAACTTTGACAGTAATTATTGTCAACTTTCAAACAATATTATCGTTTATCGCAATAATCTCTGAGACAATTAATCGCCCAGCAAAATTTGTTATCGAGACAGGCCTCTCCGCTTCCTCAAAAAAAAAAGAAGCTTTGGTGGCTTTCTTATCGCCAAATAATTCTGGAAGCCATTTTTTTTTTATTCTCCTGCAGTTGTTGATTTGGATCAACTTCGAAATGACTTTTATTTCAGTAGAAACAAAAAGTCCAAAGAAAAAGATTTAAAAAAATGGAACAACGAGCATTCAGAGGGCGTGCATGTGATGAAAAATGGAGCCAATAATGCTTGACCTTTATTTGAACTTGTGCGAGTTCAGATTAACGTTTCACATTCAAGACAACAGGTGAGGAGCATGTTGTTGCTTTAGTAAATAAAAGGTGCTGCAGGGTGCCGTCAGCAGCTCCTCGGTGTTTGTAGAGTAACGGTGTAGTGGAGGTATCGGCTATCCTCGGCTCGCTCGAGGTAAATCTATACGGCTGTCTGCTCTGGGACACGTCTTGGCACCAGGGTGCAAAAAATATCCTCTGGCTGTTCAGATCAGTTTTCCTCAATTACGTCCGCCTTCCTTTACATGACCTCACCTTTACGCTCGCTGTGTCAGGCGTGGCTCTTTCTGTCCTTCGCAGACCTTTGTTGTTTGCATGATGTTCACTTTGTTTCTCCGAGGGTTGAGCGTATCTGAGTTATGAGATTTGTTGTGTGCACGTGCAGCTGAAGAGTAATCCCTCGCTGCAATAGATACCTCCACTATTTGTAAATGATACTTTAATTGTTTTTACGAAGTGAAGGATTTTTTTTCCTCTTTCTGGTTCTGTCTCAGT